GTTTCAAGAGTGTGTCGACCAACAGTCGAGTCCCAGACCACATGCATGGATGATGATGGCAAATCTGTAGACGTTGTGAATCATAGGTCAGTGGATTTCAACAGATTGACTGTGTACCAACAACTTGATGGTTCTAGGTTCAACCCATTGTGGAACCGTGAATATTCTACTTTAGGGTTCTCACACAATTTTCCAGAAGTTTTTGATTTTCCACTGGTTCCCTAAATGATGTTGACTTGTAAAAAAAATTCACCTTGAAGTAGGAGCTGGATTTGGATTTCACTGGGAATGTAGTTACATCCAACTATCGTGCATCGGTGGCACAGAGGTAGGATGCTCGCCAATCGCACCTCACTTGATCTGGGGTTTAATCCCCGGCCACTGGATGCACTCCTTTACCTCACTGGTAAAAAAGGAAGGATGACTAGGCATGAGACTAGCAATCCCACCCCGTAAAATAATAAACACCACTACTACCGAAGCTTCAGGCCTTTAGCTCGAAGCCCTATGTTCCAGTGGGGGAACGTAAAGGAATAAACAAAACAAATCGTATCTTAAGCAGGAGTATCCTCGACTTCACTGCTAGTTACCATCACACTAATAGCATTGACTTACATTAGACGGAGCAGTTGATTTATTACAATGTTGTATTACTTCATCTAATAGAACTGTGATTTATACCTGAGTTTTTTGTCACTTGAATCAGAATTTGGCATCACCTCTTAAAAGCTGTTGAAAACTGGACAAGTATGTGAGTGCTATTCACGCTTATTAACAGATTTCGCTCAAGTGGAACTTGTTATTCAGAGTAGAGTAGAGTAGAGTGGAGTAGAGTATCAGCCATCAATTTCCGTTCAGCATACATTGTCTTCTCAGACTGTTGTTAGACGCGTGAATTATACTCGTTGAATATATATATGGGATTCAAATACTCTGATTACCCTCCATATTCAAGTATTGGTTTTGTAGGGATTTTGTTTGATTGGTTGGAGAGTTTCATCGTCAGCTGACATCAGTTAGAGAACCATTGGAAAATCAACTGGGAGTACTGGACAGATGTTTCGTCATAGTTTGGGACCCCTCATCAGTACGCACCCGCCTCAACACCACGACCTTCTAGCTACAAGGCGAGCTAGCTTGTAAACCATTAAGCCACTGGAACCTGCCAATTCATGACATAGCGCGACCAGTAGGGCACAGCAGGTTGAAGGTGAGACAGTAACCCATCATTGAAGAAGACATTACGAAGTGGTCACTCTATGTCTTGCTTGAATTGGCAGAAGTTAGAATTCATGGACTGGCCATTGGATTGGCGGGTCCCAGTGAGTGGATGAATGGTCCACCAGCTAGCTCGCCTTGTAACTGTAGAGTTCTGGGTTCGAGCCATGGTGGTGGGTGTCTACTGCTGAAGATTCCCGAACTAGGCTGACGAAACAGCTGTCTAGTACTCTTAATATATCAAAATATTCCAAATAATATGAGGTACTCCTCATCATCTGCTCTGGTGGATGTTCTTGGTATTATTGTGTTGTCTGAACTGGAAATTTTAATTAGAAAGCTTCGATTATCCTTCTGAACAAAGAATTTCTCCTTCGACTTCATATCCGAGAGCATAAACTATAACCATTAAATGGCATGATGATATGTGTTCCTTCAATATCAAACAATATACATGTGAACAACTAAGCAAACCGGTTTGACTAGACGTGGAGAGAACTCCGAGAAGCTTCATACTTGTATCAATTTGAACTTCATAGGCTTACGTTCTAAAATCAAATATGGGACTTCCATCTTCTGGAATTTCAGTAACAGTAATGTTAATTTTATGCAAGAACTGGCGAGGAATCATGCTCCTGTCGACGCCAAGTAAAATCCTGAGTCGCATCATCCTGGAGAGAATAAAGGACGCACTGGATACAGAACTCCGCCAACCAGAACAAGCTGGATTCAGGAAAGGCAAATCATGTTCTGACCAAATTGCAACTCTACGCATTATCATCGAACAAAGCATGGAATGGCAATCAAATCTCTACCTCAACTTCATAGACTTTGAGAAGGCCTTCGACAGCGTTGACAGCGAAGTAATTTGGAAACTACTCGAGTACTACGGCGTACCCCAAATATTCATCAACCTTATTCAACAACTGTACGACAACGGCACATGTCAAGTGATCCACAAAGTAAAACTCAGCGAAGCGTTTGGAGTAAACACAGGAGTCAGACAAGGGTGCTTATTATCACCAATGATATTCCTAATTGTGGTGGACTGGATTATGCGTCAGACAGTGGGAAACGAGAAGACAGGGATATCCTGGACGGACGTGAAGAACCTAGAAGACCTGGATTTTGCGGATGATTTATGTTTGATGTCACACAAAATCGAAGACTTACAAGCGAAAACCGACAAACTCGTCGAAGAAGCAGCAAAGACAGGCCTGTTGGTGAACATAGACAAGACGAAGGTTATGAAAATAACCAACCAACAACAACAACAGCAACATCCAATGCCGATCACCATCAACGGGAGGAACTTGAAAGAGGTTACTTCATTCACTTATCTAGGGAGCATTGTCTCAACTACAGACAGGTGGAACCGACGAGGATGTCAAATCGAGAATCGGGAAGGCGAGAAACACATTCATCAACTTGAAACCAATCTGGAAATCTTCGTCACTCAGCCTGCATCAACAACAAAATGATTCGGATTTTCAATACAAACGTCAAGTCAATTTTGCTTTACGGATCAGAAACTTGGCGGGTCACAAAGAATATTTCCAACAGCCTGTTGCAGACCTTTATAAACAACTGTCTTCGCTCTATACTGAAGATTAGATGGCCAGAAAGAATCACCAACAAGAAACTATGGGAACAAACAAAACAAGAACCAATCGCTCAACAAATATGCAGGAGAAAGTGGAGATGGATCGGACACTCGCTGAGGAGGCCGCTGGGTGACATCGTGCGTCAGGCCATTGCTTGAGTGGAACCCGAAAAGGAAGCGGCGAGTGGGACGTCCTAGGGTGACATGGGGGAGATCGTGTGAGGAGGAGATGAAACAGTATGGAATAACGTGGATGCAAGTGAAAAGTACAGCAGAAGACAGAAGCAAGTGGAGGCGTGCAGTTGAAACCCTATGTTCCACTAGGAACTCAAGGGAACAATAATAATAATAGGTTATTTCAGCTTGCTAAAGTGAGCTCGTTAACTATTCAGCTACCGGGATATGGTGATAGAGAAAAAGTCACAGTGCTGAAAGCTTAAAATCAGACGAATGAAATGTTCAGTATCAATACAAATATGAACGCATGGATAAGAAAACCTATGAAGACAATTAATTACAATCAAAATTATTAGAAGAGACAGTCGTGTCATTGACGTGGAATTCCAAGCATTCACTTCCTAATGAAGCTAATGTCAAAGATGGAAGGATAATGGAAGCTTCATAATTAAACCATAAAGCTTAGAGACCACAACAACAAAAAAAGGTTAAAATTGAATTCGCAATTTGAAAATGTGAGGAAATATTCATTTCAAGTAGCTATCCAGAATTCGGCTGTCTAAGCTGAATTCAACCGGGTAAACAGATGATTAGTTCAGCCCCAAACTTAGGAGAATAGTTATCCGGTATTTGGATAACTTCAATCTGGCTACTAACGCGTTACTGGTTGATATGAGTAGTGCTCAACCAACTATAGCAATCAGTGGTATATGCCGTTATGCATTTTATGTTAAAAGTTTGCATACACTACCTCAGACTTAACTTGTAGAGGTCGCATTCTGCTTACAAAATGAACGCCGACAATTCAATTCACGTTATTAAGTCAATAGGGATCTACCCTTTTAAAAGTTTTGTAATTATTTAGCATTACTCAAGACTTTATCAACACTTGAATACTAGTACTCTCAGGTTCTCCAGTCGAGTTCAGCTCACGTTGAAATTCTATGACCAATCAAATCCCATTAAGTACTACACAACGGGAAACTCACGGAACACTTTGAATTGAAGACGGAAGTAATACAAGCTGGCTGCCTCCTGTCTCTAATGATTTTTCTGATTGTGGTAGACTGGATAATGCGACAGACAGCAGCGGGCAGCGAGGAGACAGACATAAAATGGACCCAAACAAAAACACTTGGAGGATCTGGATTTCACCGATGATATATGTCTGATTTCGCACAAAATGGAAGATATGCATGTGAAAAGCAACAAGTTGGCAGAAGAAGCATCCAGACAACAATAAGTATAAGCGAGAGAAATCTGAAATAAGCAGCCTCCTTCACCTACCGACCTGGGAAGCTTCGTTTCAATTACAGGCCAACGGAACTGACGAGGATATCAAAGCGAGGATCGGGAAAGCAAGACAAGCTTTCATTTCTCTTAAGTCTGTGTAGAGGTCAACAGCACCACTCAGCATGAAAATGAAAATGAGATCTGGATTTTCAACTCCAATGTGAAGTGAGTACTACTATACGGATCAGAGACTTGGCGCCGTGCCGCGCCGCATCACGAAGGCCACTTTGAACAAATTACACACCTTCATCAAACAGATGACTTCGCTCAATACTACTCAAGATCAGATGGCCGTAAAGGATCAGCGACAGGGATCTCTGAGAGAGAACCAACCCAACAGGAACCGATAGTGCAACAAATATACAGGAAGAGATGAAGGTGGATTGGACGCCATACTCTGAGAAAACAAATCATCAAGTGAGTGACATCACACTCCAGGCGATGGCTCGGGTGGAAACCAGAAGGGAAACTAGAAGGGAGGTTAGTTGGTCGTCAGTGCGATGGTGACATGGAGGAGTTAATGTTGAGAGGGCCTGAAAGTGTGTGGGCAGAATTGGAGCCAGGCGATGGAAACATTAGTAATGTAGACGTTCGGCTGAAGTCCTATGTTCCTCTAGGAACTAAAGGAAACAATAATAATAATAATTTAAGTAAGAAAATGTTTGTATGAAAGAAACCTTTACCAACATTATTATTCACTAATACTTACCACTACAAAATCCAGGTTTTTTCAAGTCTATAAATGTATCACTTAAACAATTGACCACATGAAGAAAACAGGTATTCGCATAAGCTTTTCCATTTGACGCACAAACAGTAGGCCAACCATACGTCTTTACTGATCTCTCCCATACAGGATAACCAAATTCTGAAGCGCCTACTGACGATGATGATGATGAGGATGTGGACGATGAGGATGATGAAGATGATGATGATGACGGTATGAAGACTTGTCCATTTCTGAATTCTGTATTACAGTCTACCGGCAGGTCTTCACAGTCCATACATATCGGTTGGCCGGTTATATGATGTGGGCTACATTTCATGCCTTCTCTTGGACATTTTATATCTGAACAGGTCACCTTACCTGTAAAGTTAAATGAAATCAAAATATTAGAATGTTATTTTGTGTTTTATTCGGTTATATCGGAAAGTCAGGTCAAATACGTAGATAAAACTAGTAGAACAGGGGCAGTCAGTCAGACAAGTCGAACATAAAAACCTACCAGCAAAATGTAGATTAGTTGACCCGAATAAGATAAGAAATCCAAATAATAGTTAGTTTAGCTACAGCACTCACTACATGCAGTTACACACAACCATGTAATAGGCTGGATGGGATAAGATGACAGTTTTAAAATCTAATCTAATGTAACAGGGTGGAGGGAGAGATTGATAACGGAAGCTTTGCTTATATAATCAACTGAAGAGAGTACGTGTAATACGAATGATTCAACACCTGTCCCAGATATCTGGAAAATTCTACTACCCCTACGACGACAAATAGGAGAGAAAAAAGAAAACTATAAAACTGAAGTTTCGAAGTCGTGTGATTATAATTGATGGAATGATTATGAACAGTAATAAATTGTGTTCGAAACGTCATCCAGTAAATAGTACTGTTTCACTGACTGTGTGATATATCTAATAAACAAACTAATATGGAATTACTTACTACCACAGTCTCTATCTCAGCTTCATCGACTTTGAAAAGGCGTTTGACAGCGTCGATCGAGAGGTGATTTGGAAACTACTTCGCTACTAAGGGGTGCCGCCGACAATTATACATCTCATCCAACAGCTGTACGACAATGCTGCATGCCAAGTAATCCACAAAGGGAAACTTACGGAATCCTTCGAAGTGAGGACAGGAGTAAGACAAGGCTGTCTACTATCGCCAATGATTTTCCTGATTGCAGTAGATTGGATAATGCGACAAATAGTGGGCAATGAGGAAACAGGCATAAAATGAACTCACACAAAAAACTTGGAGGATCCGGACTTCGCCGATGATATATGTCTGATTTCCCACAAACTGGAAGATATACAAGCGAAAAGCAACAAGTTGGCAGAAGAAGCATCAAAGATAGGAATTCAAGTGAACATAGAGAAAACAGAGATGATGATGAAGATTCCTGGCTAACACCATCAACAGCAACAACAACAACAGAAAACGATCAGCATAAATGGGAGGAACCTGAAAGCAACAACCTCTTTTACCTAGCTGGGAAGTATCGTTTCAACTACAGGTAGACGGAACTGACGAGGATATCAAAGCAATAATCGGGAAAGCAAGACAAGCTTTCACTACTCTCAAGTCTGTGTGGAGGTCAACAGCCCTTTCAGCACTAAAAATAAGATTCGGATTTTCAACTCCAATGTGAATTCAGTGCTACTATACGGATAAGAGACTTGGCCTCGCGCCGCGTCACGAGTGGCACTTCGAACAAACTAAACACCTTCATCAACAGCTGTCTTCGCTCAATACTACTCAAGATCAGATGGTGACCAGAAAAGATCAGCAACAGGGATCTTTGGGAACGAACCAACCAGGAACCAATTGTGAAACAAATGGGCAGGAGGAAATGGAGATGGATTGGCCATACTCTGAAAGGACAAACCACCAAGTGACATCACTAGACAGGCCCTTGAGTGGAACCCGAATGGGAAGCGGCGAGTTGGTCGTCAGTGCAAGGGTGACTTGGAGGAGGTCATGTGAAGAGGAGATGAAAGTGTGTGTGGGCAGACTTGGAGCCAGGTGAAGACTCTAGCAGAGAACCGAACGCAATGGAGACGCACGGCTGAATCCCTATGTTCCTCTAGGAATTTAAGGAAACAAAAATAATAATAACACCATGGTGCCCAATTTTCACACATATGTTAATATGAAAGTTAGAGGACTTGTTACTAGTTTTACACTATCAGGGCTACACCTACTTAAGATAGTACAAAGTAATTCATTCGTAATCTAAACTACTAAACTTTATCATAAATCTACTAAAGATTATCAAATATAAATTTCAATAAGATTCAAGCTACATCATGTAATAACATCAATGATGCAACATATCGCAAACTGACAATTTATACTGGACTGGATCAGGCGGCAGAACTTGAGAAGTGAAAAGATAAATATAACGTGGAGTAATTTTTAAAAAATCCCTAAAAGATTTTGATTTCCAAGATGATCTATGCTGTGTGTGTCTCTCACCAACTCAAAGATTGACGGGCGAAAATCAACACGTTAGCAGAAAGGTAGAGAAGACAGGACTTCAGGTGAGTATAGAAAACCTGTAAGTACTGGACAGCTGTTTCGTCCTAGTTTAAGACTAACTCTTCAGTAGTACGCGCCCACCGGGGTTCAAACCTACGGGTCACTGGATAGAGTCTTGGTGGCTTTTCTTATAACTAGAAGGTCCTGAGTTTGAACCCTGGTTGGTGCGTACTGATGAAGAGTCCCAAACTAGAACGAAACAGCTGCTCAGTACTCGCAGGTTTCCCAACGGTTCTCTTAGCGACGGATTTCATCTCATGATGAAATCCTGTAACCAATCATGAATTACTTCCTTTATTCATCCTGCGTCTTAAAAAATCACAGTCCCTCTTTCAGTATCTGAACTATGTCTATTGCACCTGAACTGCTTGAACGTCGACAACTTGGCTTGCACAAAATTTCTAATATCTTGAATGTTTCTGTATTTCCTGGAAAAAGCACAGTTTCACCAACTAAATAAACTACATTGATCTTGGATGTCTCACTGAAATTCTAATGACAAATCGTGACCGATAAAGTTCACTTAGTTGCCAGTGACACTCAGTGTCACTAGCGATATATTATGACTAAATAAACGACAGAGGGAATTCATGGGCCATTGGATTCCGACTTTTGATTGCACCAAGGATAAGCAAGTTGTTCGATAGACGGGGACGAACTTAGCTGCAGGATATGCTCTGGCTAGTGACGTACTTAGCTTTCTGTCTATCGAACAACTTGTTCATCCTTGGTGTAATCAAAAATCGATAGGTATCCTTCTCATTTTAACAACTCTAACTGTATATACAAATTTACATGTATCTGTGGCAGCTGTTACAGAAAGGCATATCTACGATTTTCTGAACATGTACCAAAAAGCCTATGTCTAAAGGGAACAAATTCTTTAAACAGTGCCATCCCCAGGCATCTCCTCAACACGGGTCACGAGGTGGACGTCGAAAAGTCGTTCAAAATTATCAATAGGCAAAAGAGCTCAATTCTACTCAAGTTTTCTGAAGCCATTTCCATCAAGCGACTGAAACCTGATTTGTGCGTCCAGAAAGAAGCGGTCATCGGTCTTTCTTTGCCATGTCTGGTAACTGGATATTTTCATCTCTCTTTCATCTAAATGCGTAATGCTGAAAAGTTTCCATTATGTATGATTATTATTGTTGTTCAGAATATTGTTTAATATTACATATATATATATATTATTGCTGTATGCATATACTGATTGATTTTTTGTTCAAAATGAACTCTGTGCAAGTATATTAAAATTGTTTTTGTAGAAATACTAAATAATGATTGTGGCCTGTAAGCAGCTGACGAGAAGGCAACGAAATAATCAAAGATGGTACCGCTTTATTCTGAAAGAACTCTAGTTCTTGCTTTGTTCAAATTCATTAAGGGGAATAAATGTATGAAACTTCAGACATCGTTGCATCATCTGTACACGGAGCTGACATTGTGAAACAGACAGCAAACAGATTCTGTCTGACAGGCGAAAAAATACGCAATAACTTAAACTCCAGATTATTATTTTAGTTAGATAATTACTGTGTCATGAGTTATAGAATCATCTGTAGTAAATTAATTCTTAGTCACTAACATTATTTACTAGCCGACATCTTTACGATTTGCGCGTAAAATTACTCCGAACTGAAAGCTCTTAGGCTAGGAAGAAATTCTTGAATATATACGTATGTATATATGCATTACTAGGTGATAAAATCAGTATTAAAAAGGTATATACAGGACAAAAATAGTGGGAAGTATTCAGCCTCAGACACAGTAGGATATATATATATATATACCTGATACATCCGACATTCCTCTATCTGTCCAAATTTATCTTCACTATTAGAATTAATTGTCGGTGACAAAATTGCACAGCGGAAAGTTAGAAAATCAGACTGAGAATTAAGAAAAAAAATACTCGAAAAATTGTCTGTTTTAATTATTGCTACGGTGTGTTTTTTTTTGGTTTTTCTCCATTTAGAAAAAACAAAACAACAAAATCTGTTTTCTTTTTTGTTTCATTTTTACACTTAGTAGTAGAAGTATAATTTTTTTTCTGATTGCTAGATCGGTCGGTCAGTGACTGAAATCTGTGAGATTTTATGGTTCTATTTAAAGATTCTCTTTTTTTCTTTGTTTTTATTTTGTCTAACTAAGAATAATAGTCAAACTTTTAAGGCCTTCACAACAGACAGCGTTGACTGGGAAGTAATTTGGAAATCGCTTCAACACTACGGCGTGCAGTTTTCCAAATCTTTACCAACCTCATTCAGCAGTTGGCTATATGACAGTGCCTGTCATGTGTCAGGTGATCCACAACCGAAAACTCTGCGATGCGTTTGAAGTGAAGAGAGGAGTAAGACAAGGCTGGCTGCCTACTATCACCGACAATGATATTCTCAATTGTTGTGGACTGGATTACGCTGGAGACTGTATGTTTGGGATCTAGACGTCGGACGTATAAGAAGACTGTAGGAGATCTGGATTTCGCAGATGATATGTGTTTAATGTCACAAAAACTTGAAGACTTACAGACAGGCGAAAACCAACAAACTGGCTGAAGAGGCAGAGAAGACAGGACTTCAAGTGAACATAGGGAAGACGGAGGTGATGAAAATAACCAACCAACAGGATCAATCATTATCAACTAGAGAAATTTGACAGAGGTTACTACCTACCTTCACTTATCTGGCTAGGCAACATCGTTTCAACCACAGACAGTCGGAACGGAAGAGGATGTCATAGCCAGTTAGAATTGGAAAGGTATGACCCACATTCATCAAGCTGAAACCAGTTTGGAAATCTTCTGCTTCATTCAGCCAACCAGCCAGCCAGCATAAACAACAAGATTCGGATTCTATTCAACACAAATGTGAAGTCAGCCAGTCACTTCTTCTATATGGGTTAGCAACATTCACTGTGCATGAGTCACGAAAAGTATTTCCAACAGGTCAGTGTAGACTTTTATCAAGAGTTGGTTACATATTGAAGATCAAATGGCTACTGAGAAAGAATTAGCAACAGGAAACTCTGGCGATTAAAGAAATCAACCTGGAACCTATCATTCAACAAATATGCAGTAGAAAATGGAGATTAACTGGACACTTTCCCCACTGAGGAGGACGTCGAATGACATTGCGCGCAGTGCATGCCATCACTCGTTTGGAACCCGAATGGGAAGCGATGAGTAGGTAGTGAGTGCGAGGGTGACATGGAGGAGATCATGTGTTGGGGCAGAGGGGAGGAGATGAGAGATTTTAGACAGTCGTGACCCCAGCCATGTGCAGAGGACAGCAGAGAATAGAAGAAAGTGGAGATGTGTTGACGAAGCCCTAAGCTCCACTTGGAACCCAAGGGAATAATAATTAGAATTATAATGCAAGGAATAGGTTACTTGATTCGGCGTAGGCTGTGATTGGAAAAGGCATCCACGATGCGTGTTTCATTTCTAGGATACAATGGTACATCCACTAGACAAACTTCCAGTAGGATTAAAACTGCACTTTTCTGAATCATTATTGTTAGCCAACCTAAATCAAGTAATATCATATTCATCTAAAGGCATTGTCGTAGCATCTGCATTAGTAGGCCAACATGTGCACAAAGACTGAATGTTTATTTCCGCTGAAAAGGAAATTCATAATAATTTCAAGAAATATCACAAGTGACAGGTCAACCACTTTTTTATTTTATTCCTTTACGTTCCGAGTTGTGGAACACAAGGCGGCTTCAACTTGGGGGTTAGCAGTAACACTGGTGTCTAGTTTTACGGGGTAGGGTTGTTAGCCTTACGCCCAACCTTCCCTGTTCACCAGCCTTACTAACAGCTTATTGAGGATCGAACCTCGGACGAAGTGAGACGAGGTTAGCGAGCGTTCTACCACTGAACCACCGACAGGTCAACCTAAGGTGTATTAATTATCTCTAATAAATATATTAGTAGTAATAAAACATAAAATAATTGAGCAAAGAATATAATTTGAGATAACTTCCTCTTCTGGCTCTATAATTATAAATATGTTCATATACATAGAATATTCTAGAATAGTAGTCAATAAATTTAACGAGGTTCATCCTGCAATAAATTTTACTATTGAGAAAGAAAGAGACTCTAGTATTTCATTTCTAGACGTCCTTATGACCAGAAAAGAGGATGGTACAATAAGAAGAAGTGTATATTAGAAAATTTACATCAACTGACTGTCAGTATACTCATGTGTTCAGCTTCGTGCCCTTGAAATACAAACGCAATCTGATAAAGTGTTTGGTCCGCCACAGAGTAAGAGAAATCTGCTCGAATGAATGTCTTTATGAGGAACTTAATAATATTAAGTGGTTACTGAGTGAAAACGGTTACAACCAGGAAAATTCATTGATAAGAATATAAATCAAAAATCAATGCAACCCAAGGTACCAACAGTTCCGAAAAAGGAAAGCCCTATTCTTACAAATTCAGTTCCTCAATGGACAACAACACCTTAGAAATGTGGTAAAAAGAGTATTCAGTGCTGCTGAATAACGCTGTGTCTTCAAAACCACCACCCACCTATTTTGCTTTCGGCAGTAAAAGATAAACTGCCTAATTTCGCCTCTTCTTTCTATGTGTATCTACCAATTTAACTGCTCCTGTGCAGTGCGCCAGTTAGTTGCATAGGCCGTACAATCAGGCGTGTTTCTCGCCGAATTTCCGGACATCATCCTGCATAGTGGTTAAGTAAAGGACAAACAAAATCCACTCATAGCGCTATTCTATCTCATCTTGTGGAAAGCAAACACAAGGCTGATGTCAAGGAGGCAGCTTTCAGAGTCATTAACCGCATAACAACAAATCTTAACTTCACCTCAAGAGTTCATTTAATACATACTGTTGAGGCTGACCGTTGGGATCCACCTTAATTAAGAAGCCTAACTTATATGTCCAAAAGAAGCTAGTTCAGACACTGTCCTTACCACCCTGGCCATCTAGGTTCTAATGATCCTCAATTTTTGTAGAAATTTCCTTAATTTTATTTGATATTCTATTTGCTATTATATTTTTATTATTATTATTATTTAAGCATCTTTAATGAACTGTAATTCCATTGTGATCTTACTTTACAAATCGATATTATTTAAAAAAAACGCTAATATTGTTATTGACTACTAATCTAGAATATTCTATATATATAAACATATGTGTATGTATAATTGTAGAGACAGATGAGGAAATTATCGCAAAGGATATTCTTTGCTCAATTATTTTGTGTTTTCTAGATGTCTGAATGAATATTTTCGCAATATTAGTAGTAGTATTAGTAGTAATAGTAGTATATCCTAAAATAATAAATAAAAATACAAAATATAATAAATCTACACATAAGAATAATTTACTTTGACATTCTCCTTTGTAAGCGATCCTCACTTCTAATTGATTTTTCAAACCAGCCAACTTTAATTCACAACTATTATAAAATGTTTCATTATCTGTACTGCACATTGGTTCTTGAAATGTTGACTCTGGACAATCTTGGACAGTTAACCAGGATTTTTGACTCCAATGTTCACATGCTGGACGTCCATCGAATTGACGCAATAAGCAGTATTCATCACGATTACAAACCAATTCTTTAGGCGGTATATCATCAACACAATTCGAAAGTACTGACTTGTCATCAAGCGATGCTGGATCATAGGCATCATGAATCGATGGAATATAATTTTGTAGATTTTTAGATTTTTTATGATTCATACCAAAAACACCTTCATCATCATCGTCATCATCCGCATAGATTTCGTCATTCAATGCTGCTGATGAGGATGAGGATGATAGGTGAGATAATTTTTCCGGGTAAAAACTTCTGAATATTGAACTAAAATCTCGTTTATTCTCTGTTAGAATACTTGACTCAGAGCATCGTAGACCTTCTTCTGGACAAGGGACTACTTGTAGACTTTCTTCAGGTGATGCACAACGTGCTCGCTTCAAGTGGCATTTATTACGAAATCGCCTGTAGCTTGCTGTACACAATGGACCGCTTAAATAATCAGCTACACTGCATTTTGATCGACAAATACACTTTGGTTCATTTTTTATAACACGACAATAATGTCCTTCAGGGCAGATATATCCTCTGCATGTTGATGGGAGTTCTTTGTATATGGATGTAAATGGATGGAAATGCAGCAACATGGAGAAAGGAAGAGAGAGAACATAAACAGTATTAGTAGTTATATAAAGTTACAGGGTTTGATAAAAAGTTAACATACAATAACCTGTTAACCAACCATTCAGGCTGGTTTTGGGGATTAAAAGTAACCAATACAAACCTGTTGAAATATGTAAACCGTAAAACTTTCTTGTGCTCATATCCTGGGTTCATTAGGATCCTGACTGATCGTTGAAGGTCACGTTAGAACATCGAAATGACCCAAGCAAGCTACTTTTTTATTCGTTTACGTTCGCAGTGGAAAATAGGGGACTTCAAGCTAGAGCCGCCTCATGCCTATCCAACCTTCCCTCTTTACCAGTTTGATTACTGGCTTAGCGAGGTAAAAGGAGTGCGTCCAGTGACCGGGGATCGAACCCCGGAGAATTCTACCGCTATGCCACCGACGCTCTGCAGCTACTACTATACCATAAAGGTTGTTGTGATCACCATAGTGTATGTGAACGGGGATGTAGTGCCGGTAAGGCGTTCTCTCAGACGATCAGCAAACCCTACTATGCTACCTGGATGGGTTAGAAAAAGGCCGACACCGACAAGTGTACATCTCGGCTTACTTTGAGGCGCTCCAGAGCCGGTGGTTAGATCTTCCTACCGAAGTAGGCCACTTCAAACAGGCCGTATGCGACCTGCTTCTAGCACATGTCCTTGGTGGGTTTAGTTACGGAATGATCTCAGTTAGCGAGTGAACCGCTGAGAACCAAGTCACATCAATTTTGGTTTAACGACAATTATTCACCACTGAAGTAAGATAGTGATAGTGCTGTACCGTTTGTTAACAGATCAATATTAGACTTGGTGGATATTTGAATCTCAACCTCAAAGACTGAACAATTACATATTCATAGAAAAGAAAAGGCGTTCAGCAAAGAGTTACTCTTTTCGGCGATATCATTCTCAAGCTGTACAAACCGCAAATTTATAGTAATTTTTCTTGGCAACAAAAGGAATATTTCCAAAGATGTGTTAATGCAATTGTTAATTTTTTTTTGACAACAAATTACGTAATTTAGAAGGCGTTAATCGGTTAGAAACTAAAATAAAGTTACAAAAATTAGGTTGGGTGACGTAATCTAATTGATAGGGTTCAATGAAAAATGAAGGAGAGTCAAGTTAATAATCTGAGTAGAATTCACTTGAAAATGAATGAGAGTTAAGTTAATAATCTGAGTAGAATTCACTTAAAAATAAACGAAAATGGAGTTAGCAACAGTCGTCATGAGGGTATAGATTTAATAGAGGGTGGGGGTAGAAAATAATGCAGTTAAGAAACAGACAATCAAAGAAGAAAGAAGTAAGACAAAATTACGTATTTGGTGTTAAGATAGATCAGGACCATTGTAGATTTAGTGACTGAACAAACTTCTTTTGTATGCAGAGTTCAGGATTCAATATGTGAATTGCCATTGCTTCTGCAGTTTGAAGAAGTTTAATTCGTACTCTTTTGGCAAGATTCCCACGTATTGTGTAGAAAACTGAGAAGTTGTTTTGTTATCTACAGTTATTAACTTAACTCTCACTCATTTTCAAGTGAATTCTACTCAGATTATTAACTTAACTCTCATTCATTTTTCATTGAACCCTATCAATTAGATTACGTCACCCAACCTAATTTTTGTAACTTTATTTTAGTTTCTAACCGATTAACGCCTTCTAAATTACGTAATTTGTTGTCAAAAAAAAATAACAATTGCATTAACACATCTTTGGAAATATTCCTTTTGTTGCCAAGAAAAATTACTATAAATTTGCGGTTTGTACAGCTTGAGAATGATATCGCCGAAAAGAGTAACTCTTTGCTGAACGCCTTTTCTTTTCTATGACTGAATGGGAATTTTCAAATTGCTGAAATGTTGCAATTACATATTCGTCTCACATAACTGTAGATCCAGGCTTCGATTTCTAGGGGATTCATAAGCGCCTAGTCTTCAAGAGTTCCAAACTGGGGAAAAAGAATATATATATCTACCTATTCATTACTGCACGTTTTTCGTCGGTTCTTTAATTGATACTTAAAAAATGGCAGAGAAGGTTTGATTTGTAGCTCAGGTCGACGCTGTTTTTTTTATGTCGTTTAAGTCTAATGGGTATAGATAGTGTTGCAAATACGTCACAAATGTTATTCGTAATAATTTTAGATTAACTGAAATTCATATTAAAGGTGATAATTATGCGATCTATTATTAAAATGCCTGAAGTTTACCTCTGCTGAAATTATAGGATACTTTGAAAATCAAGGAATATATTAGAAAATATTATTATTTATCTCTGTTTTTTGAGTCAATTTTCATGACGAAAACCACTTAGAGTAAGTAGCATTCAGCATTAATGAGTTGGGAATGAACTTCATTCATCCTGACGCATTAGAAGAAAAAACGAAAAGATTTTATTTTGATAAAGTCTCACACAGTGTTATACAATAATATTAACTAATGACCACGTTTCGAGCACAATTTATTACTGCAGCTCATAATCATATCAAGGCACTCGCTCACACAACTTTTTACTTCATTTATATACATGAGTGAATGTCATAATGTACGTGAATTGAAATAGAATACAATTTAAGATTATTTATTATCCTCTTCTGATTTGACTGACTAGTGGTAATAATATCTTCCATGCATATCTCTGGTATTTGCATTGAGTCACTTCTATTGCATGTGTTCGGTGTGTAGACTCGATGAACCAGGCAGGATTCAGTAATCAACTTCTCGCTCTCCACCTACCTATATTACTTCTTAGAATTTCAACCCTCTCCCACCCTATTGTGTGTTAATGCATACAGTGCAATTGCTGAGTTTTTTGTCTAAATTACTTATCTTCTTGGGATCAACCATTCTAACCTTAGCCATTAAACTCTTATGTCCTGATAATATCGCTAATCATGATCTACTAGTTTGACCTATGTAGTTAACCTAACTCACAGTCATTGCAAGGTATTTCGTAAATTATATTATTTTGTCTAATTGGGTCAACCGACAGGGTCCTTTAACCTACAGAGCTTGTCCTATCTGAGTGAGTTGGTAGGTTTAAATGCCACTCTAATTCCTGCTTTATTAAGAATCCTACGTAGGGTCTGAGATGTCCACTGTCTCCTTATATGGTAAAACTATTGTGGATGCCTTATATTCTCTCTTATTTATGTTATCATTATTAGTTTCACAATTATTTTTAATTTTCTTTTAGCCTTTACTGATCTTCCTAATGAATTTTATAGGATAGTTGCTTATTTAACACCAACGCTTCTTGTTCTATCTGTTTTATTTCATCATGTAGGTCTTTTTTTGTACTACTTAGTGCTACTGCTCGGTTTGTTAGACACTTAACAACTAAGCCTGCCTTCACGTACAGACAACGGATGAGATGAATAAAAGTCTAAATATCTATAAGTGGAATGAGTTGGCTTTTTATAAACGCTGCTAGTGTGAAGTTTACCTTCTTCCGTTCGTTTTATTTTACAATCTAACACCATAGCTAATCCTCCTTGTTCATTTTCTGATTCATGTGTGAATTTTATTCCCTTTACTAGTGAGTTTATGTGTATGTCTGAAGAAGCTAGAGAGAGAGATGTTCTTTTTTTAACACTATGAGTGAGTCTCATCCACATGTCTATCTCCACCATATTTTTGGAGTAGGATTAAATGTATTTATCAAAATGAAATCTTATTTATAATGGAGTTATACCCTACCACAGTGCTTAAGTTTTATACTTATAAGAAGAAAGGAAAAGATTGATTTTTTAAATTATTATTCATGAAACATGAAAATTAAATGTTAAAAATAGGATTCGTCTTCTTTGAGATTAGTCGTCTAAATATAGTTAATTCTTTCCATGGTGGAATTGTTTCTTCGAGAACACTTAGTAAAATAGAAGTAGTTATAATAAAGAATTGAAAGCATTCATAGTACTGACATGTAGAGAATTAATACTACAGGTTTTATGAAGGATTCTTAATAAGACTGGAATTATGGTGGCGTTATCTGTCGGCTTAAGGATACAATACACCTACAAATCAATTCTAGAAAAATTAATCTGATGCTCTCTAGTAATGGCTGGCTACAGGATGGAGTTTCCTGGAGTTCTAGTGAGAAGTTGTGACCGATGGGGTTCACCCGGTGGAGAGTGAGGACAAATGCTCGCCTCAGATGATATTGGTTGGTGTCAGTCGCGCTAAAATCACGAATTGGTAGAAGTTAGAATTCATGGACTGGTCGCTGAAGAGTCGAGTGCTATTGACTGAATGGTCTACGAGCTAGCTTGCCTTGTAGCCTGAAGGTCCTGGGTTCGAACCCTGCCAATGAGTTCAAAACTAGGCTGACGAAACATCTGTCTGGGAAGTACTCTAGTGTTGGTTTTCAATGGTTCTCTAACTGATTTCAATCCATGGTCAAACTTGAAGAATAAATCATCCCTCCTGCTGGGTGACTTTGAACATGATTGGTTGTTTTTAAGTGCCTTCACACTCTCTAGGCTACTTGTATTGGTACTGATTGTTTCCTTGACCCTTGAAGTTTGACCCTTCGTGTGTGAGACTTCCTTCTTATCGATTGGTAAATTTTGTTTATGTCGATGTGTCTATTGACTGGCGATTCACTGGAATACCAGGCAGCCTTCTAAAAATTCTCTAGCGTTCTTGGTGTCTCCTCTGTCTAATATTTGAACGCTGGTTGTCCCAGTTGAAATGATCTCCGTGGTTGTCTGTATGCAGTGAGACGATATCAGGCAGTGGATATCATGTCTTTTGACGGCTAGTTTGTGTTCATCGATACGAAGACGAAGAGGGTGTCCACTTTGACCAATGTAGTGTTTTTCGCAGTCGTTTCAACTTATTTTGTAGATGGTGTTGGTTTTATCTTCTTTCGTTGTTGAGTGTCTTTTGGTTGACATAGAGCCAGCTGAGTGAAGTGATTTTGTTGGTTTGTGTGCAACATCAATTCCTAAAGGTTTGAAGAGTTTTGCAGTGATTTCTGAGATATCCTTTAAATATGATTGGGCGATATTCTTTGTGCTTTCCTTGGAGGACTTTGATTTGGTAGGTTGGCTTGTGGGTAGATATCTTTTGACGAAGTTTCTTGGATATTCATTCTTTTAGAAGACGTCCATGAGATATCTTTCTTCAATTTTCTTTAAAATAGGATTCCTGCAATAAGTCCTGGCTCTCTTCAATAGTGTTTGTATACAGCTATCTTCGAGCGCCATTTATTGGGTTGTTGCTGTTGTAACTGAGTATTTGGTCCGTATGAGTTGATTTTCCATAAACCTGAGTTTCTAATTCCCCTGTGGTTATTCGCTTGACTAAGACGTCTAAAAATAGAATTTTGTTCTCAGATTCCTCTTCTCTTGTGAATTTGATGTCGTTGAAGACGCTAATTATTAAGTTGTGGCTTTTTTATAATTCGTTTCTTTTGATTATTACAAATGTGTCGTCCACGTAACGTATCCAAATCTTGGGTTTGATGTTTGGTAGGAATATTTTTTTTCGAACCTTCGCATCACTGCTTCTGCATTCAAACCTGATATTGGCGATCCCATGGGTGTTCCTTTTACTTGTTCATATAATTGGCTGTTGAATTGGAAGTACGTTGTTAAGCATAGATTTATGCATTCTATCCAACTTGTGTGTTGCATTTTTGATTGTTTCGGGGAGGTGTTCGTCGTTGCTGAGTAATTACTCCTTGGTCTCTTTTGCTAGTTTCTGTCCATTCGAGGTATATAGTGCTGTGATGTCGAAGGATATCATTATTTCCTGGTCATCTGTTTGAATGCCTCTGATTTTCTTTAGAAATTGGATAGCAGAATTGATGGAGTGATCACAAGATTCCATTAGGTGTTTCAATTTTCTGTATAATTCTTTGGATAAATTGTATGTTGGAGTTCCTGAGAGTGATACAGTTGGTCGTAACGGGATATCTGGCTTGTGTATTTTGGGTCTGCCATAGAATCACGATAGGACTGGTATTCAAAAGTATTAGAAATATGCTGACAGAGGTTGGTCAAGTAAGTCTTTGTCCTCGCTACATTATGCTGAATGCTAATTATAAAGAGTTGGGGACTACATTCCGTGAACTAAGGACACCACTAAGGAACTATTCATCTCATGTATTGGGACAAGCTGCCATCCAACTGGATAATACTTTCTCTTATGTTTAGTAGAATAGACTTGCAAAACTGCAGGTTGTGAACATTTCAAATACACGCGAGAGTAGATAACACTTACTGGAGGTCATAAATTACTAGATTTAAACAAAACGGAATATGCAATGCATACTGATGGAGGTTTTCGTTAGCCCCAGTTTTATACAGACCGCCAGTACTCGAAGTACCGTCATCCAGTTATTAATACTGACTTGATGTGTGCCTTAGCAGACATAATGACGGATCTCTCAAAAGATCTATCCACCGGAAACGTACTTGGAACGGACAACTAACTAATTTTTACAGTTGGGTGCCTATTTCCAGGAAAAGGAACTTAATCCATTCGCTCTGCTCTAGGATAAGGAAAATTTGTAGTTCTGATTCCGTTGACTCGGAACTTGACTTCTTAAAAGCCACCCTCGCAGAAAACGGTTACCCTAACCGATTTATTGACAGCAACATGAAAGATAAGCAGTCTAAACTGGTCACCGACACAGTTCCAAAGAAAACCTTATTCATGAACTTGGAATTCAAAGGTGATCAAGCCTCAGATATGCTCAAAAATCGTCTCTCTAAATCAGTCAGTAAGACGTTCTATGCAGCAAAATTACATATGACGTTCACTAGCCGCAAGTTGTTCTCTACCTCTGTAAAAGATAAGCTCCCCCATCTGGCCGCCTCCATGTGCATCTATCAGTTCACCTGCTCTTGTGGAGCAAGGTACATTGGCCGTAGTCAGAGGACGCTTTCCACACGGATACGAGAACATATTCCAGCATGGTTTTACAAGGGAGAAAGGAAGTGTGTGCGAAGCTTTATTTTGGAACACCTGATCGACTTCTGTCACTCTGTCAACCCTGTCCATGATTTTAAGATCATATATAGAATCCATGCTAACTTCCCGCGTTTTCTTCGTTACAGACTTCTAAAGACAGCTGAGGCCTTGGCAATTCATGACTTTAAGCCAGACCTTTGTGTACAAAAGAAGTATGTACAATCCCTACTTCTGCCTTGGCCGTAGAGGGATTTATTTATTTTATTTAGTTATTCTATATACTTTTCCCTTATTACTACGATTATTATTATTATTACCATTATTATTATTACTATTCTCACTCTGAATCTTTTTCACTTGGCCCACTTGACATTTTAAACCCAAAATTATTGATTTTTATATTTTTATTTTTACAATATTGAATTCTATCTTATCAAATTTCACACCATGTTATGTAACATTTTATATTCGTCTACTAATCTTATAATTATGTACCCCTTTCCAAAATTCTATACACCTTATGTATTATTCTATATACGACATTAATTATTTTGCCACTTGACATTAAACTATGATTATAATCACAAATATTTTAATTGCATTTCATACTACTATTATTATTTCATGTATTCACACCTTTGACCTAATTCCTTCACCGGATATAATTTTTATTTAAAAAAAACCATATATATACGATTGTACAGCTTGATAATAAATTCGTTGAAAAGAGTCTCTTCGCTGAATATTGTGTTCTTAATGCTACAATGGGAATTATTTAATACTGACTATATCAACAATGTGGGCTATATGAAATAAAACTACCTAATATGAAATGAGATTCTACCACAGTGTTCAAACTCCACTCTTCCATGAATATTCGCCACTTATTCAACAGGGATTAGGAGTGAAACATTTCAATTAGAAATGGAGACCACACCCTTTTTTAGACATATCTGATGCTCATAGGAAGTACCTGGTGTTCTTAGTGAGAAGTCGTAACCAGAAGGGTCTACCAAGACAGGTAAGGCGACCGTTAACCACCGTTGATATTGGCTGGTGGTGACGAATTGGCAGAAGTTGGAATTCATCGACTGGCCACTGGATTGGCGGATCCCAGTGAGTGGCTTAATGGTCTACTAGCTAGCTCACATTGTAACCGGAAGGCCTTGGGTTCGAACCCTCGCAGTAGGTGCGTACTGATGAAGAGTTAGTCCCAAACTAGGCAAAAATACCTGTCCAGTATACTACTCAAATGAATGAGTAGTATATCAACAATCGTAGGGAATAGTCTATCTCATTATGCTAACAATATGTATATAAATAACACTTTCATATAAGTCCACCTCTCTCTCTAATGCTTTTCTTCACAATGTATGCAATATTAATAAAATGTGTCAGTCTAAATAAAACTCACCTTCATTACATGCTTCAACACAATTCGGTGTACCGTATTCAAACAGTAGATTATTGTGAAGGTGTTCTTCTCGTGTCATTCGACGATTCAGATAATATCCACCTGTTTTACAACATTCCAACTTGGATATATTATTCGCAGTAAGATTGATACAATTCCCGTTTGCCAAACGTACAGCGAAACATGAACCACTGCTGACGACTTCAAGGTGAAAAAACGAAGAAATAAACAAAACAAAACAGTTAGAAGGAAGACAGGCTAGACGAATTCACTTCATAGACACAAATATAATCACTAGGAAGTTGAATTTTCAAATGTGTAAAATTTTAAAAGTGAAAATGTAATTACTGTTGGTCGAATGAGTTTAACTCATTTGACACCTTTTGGTTTTCAAGTTACATTATGAACCAGCGTTTAGTTAGAGACTCTGTCTGTCTGTTTTCGACATTGAACTTTGCACCGATGTGCAGCACTTCGAGTCGCCACACTCCCCCCCCAAGTAGCACAGAAAGCAAGAGAAGAAAGTAGAAGAAATGCAAAATAGAGACAGTAAACAGAGATATGAGACAAAAGGAATAGTAATAACGAAGAACAATATAGTTTCATTGGAAATCATAAGTCACAAGGAGTGGATGCATCTGCACCAGCCATTGAGAACGATTTTGAGCCATATCACCAATTGTCTCCAGCCATTGGTTTTTACTGTCCCGAGGACTCCAACCAGATTGGCAGTCTACACCTTCCTACGTGGCTTAAACTAACTGTTTTGGATTTCATTGACTGATGAAGCCATGTTTTGGTTTGACTGCCACTAGCTCTTTTCCAGCCTGACGTCCTATGTCAGTTAACATTGCCCGTTGTCGAAGAAGGCGATCGATGGCTAGGCATACGTAACACGTGTCTTAACCATCTCAGTCGATGTAGCTTCACAGCTTCGTCGATTGATTCCCCCTCCAACTCACCTAATGCTAGACTGAGGCCTAAACTCAACACTGCTTACCCTATTATACCACTTCACACGGGAGATAGAATGCAGGCATCTACGGTCAAAGACAGCTAGCCGGGTTTTCATGTCTGCCACTCTCAATGGCCTGGTCTCACAGCCATAGAGGAGGTCGATAGCCGGATATCAAAGGGCGGGTGTACTGCTCAGCAGTCCACTTCGTCCTCCTTTATGGCTGTTAGTTAGAGCTATTGTTTAGTCATTTTATTCAAGTTTGGAATTATTCAGCAGTAAACACCCATCACCTCATCGGGAATCGAATCAGCAACCTTTAGGTTATGAGGCAAGTGACTTGACTATTTAGGTACTAGGACGGAATCTAGTTGCCTGCCCAAGTATATATATGACTCCATCACTAGCTGAAATCATCGGTGAGTATTTGTCTTCGCACTCGATTCGATGGACCCAGCTGGTCACGACTTCTCACGAGAATACCAAGCAACTTTATCTTGTATTCAATCAATAATGAGTATTACATTAATTTTCAAGTATTAGTTTGCAGGAATTTGATTACATCACTCCTGTTTAGCTAAAATTGTGTTGGTGCGATGCAAACAATGTGTTCCAACGGAATATTATTCTCACATATTCCCGTAGGTCATTACTACATTAGCAACTGAATACTATATGTCGTTTAATGTAAATCAAAATCACACGCTAAGTGATTATTTAAAGAATATAAACTGTATAGATATATAAATAGCGGTTTGATCACCTGAACAAAATATACCATGGCTTCCGTGTCTTGCCTTCTGCTGTTGCAAATGAAGTGAAGTGACAATAATAATAATAATTAAAAGTAATGATAACAGTTTTATTCTGCACAAAATTTCTACTCAATGTACAGAATTCTTCAGCGCGATTTACTGTACAATATTTTCTCCTCAGCTCAGATCTTCAAATAAAATAGGAATTTACTGTATATCACGTGACCAGTCTGAAACACGGGCTAATAATCCCCCATGACATTTTTATTTTGTCTCCAAACGTATTCACACCGGTAGGTACAAAAAGTGAACTAAAAAATATGCGCGAGTACATTTTTCGACTCAAGGATAATGCTGGCGAACTACACGTATTATTCTCTATACGACCGATGGTGCTACCTCGACTGAAAGATGAAGTACCCAGATTAGCTAGCCACTTCAAATTGTATCTACCAATTCAACTGCGCTTGTGCTGGAGCGAGTTTTATTGGCCGTTGCTCTAGGAACTTGATTTTTCGTGGTCGCTCGAGAACATCTCCCACTATGGCTAAGTAAAGGTGTAGTTAAAACCACTAAAAGTTCGATATTGGACCATCTGGTGCAAACCAGCCACAAAGCCAGCATTGAAGAATCCTTCTCTATCATCATCTAACGGGTACCAAATAAATTGCCAAAAACATCGAGGTATCGCATGTTCCAAACAGTAGAGGCTATTGCAATTCACTTCAAACAACCAGTGCTTTGTGTGCAAAAGAAACAAGTCCAGCCAGCCACTACTGCTGCCCTGGCCGGCCTTCAGTAGAGACTATAAATTCATGAATTTGTAATATTATCTTTCTTAATTTTTCTGACATTCAGTGTGTATTGTTTTGTTGATGCTATTGAGCTGTAATCTATCAATATTATTGATTCGATGTTATTTAAACAACATTAATGTTGTTCATAACACTAATTCATTCATTCACTATAATGTATATATAACTAACTGTAGAGCCTGATGATGAAATTATCGAAAAGAGTACTCTTTGTTCAGTATCCATTCTTTTGAAAATTCAGGTAGCCCAATGATTCAAGCAGCCCGCCATACCTATGATTCTCGAAGTGATATCTATTATTGACAGTATCTATCATCGGAATAAATTTGATCTATTTATTTTATTATAGCTTGATTCCACGCAGTATTTCTGGTACAAGTATGGAATTTTCAGCATGTGATATCCATAGGCCAAATTTAGCAGGCCGACTATTGATATCAGGTGTGTGTCTGTGGGGGATCGAACCCCGGACCATGTGCATGGTCGTCAAGCGTCCTAACCGCTGCGCTACTGACGACACATAAGAATATTGGTGTGTAATAATAGTAAAGCTTTATTTCAGACAATACGTGAACACATAGTACAGGGATTTCCAGCGTATTTAGTTCCAAAATATTTCCTTTTCATACAGAATTCACATGTAAAGTAATCATCTGAAGTATATCATGAGACGTAGCATTAGCGCATATGAAGAGAGAACCAATTCGGTAAGTTTTTTCTTCATTTCTTCCAAGAAATGCACAGCGCTTATTTGAAAGCTAATTAAATATGTGCTAGTCCGTGTAGTGATCGTCTGACATAATTGCACGATTAAAACAATAAGGAATGCAGAAGAGGAGTTTAAGAAGCAGCATTTTGATGGATAGAAATTCTGGTAGCCCAGCAATTTAAACAGGCCGCCAGGCTATCGTGATTATCGGTGATTGCTAACTTCCAAAATTTGCTGCCAGTAGAATTTGAAATGTACATTCTTACACTTAACCTCATGGTTTTATAAAGGAGAAAAAAGAACCCTCAGCCCCTCGTCCGCCACAGCAGCTCTATCCTGGAACACCAGATCGATCGAATCTCGACACCAAGCTAACCCACAAAACAATTTCAGCGTTATCTATAGAATATGTGGGAATCTCGCTAAAAGAGTACAACGAATCAAACTTCTTCAAATAGAGCCGAAGCAGCAATAGTGGAGCAATTCACATGTTAAATACTGAACTCTGAATACAAAAGAGGAAGTTTGTTCAGTCATTAAATCTACAGTGGACCTGATCGGTCTGTCTTAACACCAAATACGTAATTTTTGTTTCGTCTTTTCTTTTTTGCTTGTTTGTTTCTTAAATGTATAATATTTTCTTCACCCATTCCTTATTACCCCTGTTAGCTGAGTTCTACTCAACCCTTTTTCAATTAGATTGTGTCATTCAACTTACTTATTTAATCTTATTTTAGTTCTTAACCCATTAACCGAAATTTGTTATCTAGAATTTACAATTCTAATGACAAATCTTTCGATATATATATATATATAACTTTAATTAGCCATGCTGGTTGACTTGCATTCAGGTTGCCTCGACAGATACTGATGGGGATGAAAAAGAAAAGCTTAGTTACATTTAAAACTATGCTTAAAAAGATTGTCTTTCAAAGTGATATGGAGAGCGGCGTGCTTAAATTGCTGGGCTACCAAAAATGTCCATCCATTAAAATGGCGTTGCTGCTGCTTAAACTCGTCTTCTGCATTTCTTATTGTTTTAATCGTGTAATTATATATACATGAACTCGCGCGCCTGCGAATATTTAATTAGCTTTTAACAAACAAAATGCTGTACAGTCCTTGGAGGAAATGAAGGAAGAACATTCTAGAAACTAGAAAATGGGCCTTTGAAGGATGTTATTAATGAACTTGAATTCTATTGTCGGTACATGCATAATACATCTTTGATTATGAAAAATGAGAAGGAAGCAAATAACATCCTTGACAAATTTAACGAGGTTCATCCTGCTATAAATTTTACCATCGAGAAAGAAAGAAAAAGACTCTAGTATTTCATTTCTAGACGTCCTTATGACCAGAAAAGAGGATGGCACAATAAGAAAAAGTGTATATAGAAAACCTACATCAACTGACTGTCAGTATACTCAATTTTTCAGCTTCGTGTCCTTGAAATACAAATTCAATCTGATAAAGTGCTTGGTTCACAGAGCAAGAGCAATGTCTTGATGAGGAACTTCATAATATTAAACGGTTTGCTAAGTGAAAACGGTTATCCAGAAAAGTTTATTGATAAGAATATGAATCTAAAATCAAAGTAGCACAAGGTACCAGCAGTTCCAAAAAAGGCCTTATTCTTACAAATGCAGTTCCTTGGGGACAACATCAGCGAAATACCAACACGGTGCCTTAGAAATGCGTTAAAAAGAGCATTCCCTGCGGCTGAATTACACTGTGTCTTCAAGACCACTCCTCACTTGCGTCCGGGAGTAAAAGATAAACTGCCTAATTTTACCTCTTCCATGTGCATCTACCAATTTAACTACTGTGGAGTGAGCCAGCTAGTTGCATAGGCCGTACAATTAGGCGTGTTTCTCGTCAAATTTCCGAACTTCACCCAGCATAGTGGTTAAGTAAAGGACAAACAAAATCGATTCGTAGCGCTGTTCTATCTCATCTTGTGTATA